CTTATAATGGGTTCTGGCCAACACCCGATCGTTATGATCAACTCAGCATTGGCAAGATCAGCCCAAGTCTGCAAACTCACACCGGTGCTCCTGGATGAAATCTGGGCTCGAGCAGCCTTAGATCTAGAGTACCTTTCCTTGAAAAAAGCTATTGAGAACACCTCTGGGAATTTGGTGAACCGAGACCTGACTTTAAAGGACGGAGACGTCTTCTATAAGGAAAGGCGGTACATTCCAAATCATCGGGAACTGAAGCTCAAGATCCTGAGCGCCCCACATGATTCGAGGACTGCTGGTCACTTTGGACAATTCAAAACGGCAGAACGCCTTCGGGCACTGTCCTTTGGCCAAAGATGGACAACGATGTGGAAGAATACGTTCGGAGTTGCGATACATGTCAACGCGCTAAAGCCTCAAACACATAAGAAGTATGGGATGTTGCAACCTTTAGAGGTCCTCTCTATGCCTTGGAGTTCCATTTCAATGGACTTTATCACCAAAGCAACCATCGAAGAACTTGTTCAAATCTTCCTCCGGAAGATATTGCGACTGCATGTACTTCGTGAGGAGATTATCTCCGATCAGGACTCTAGAATCGAAACATATCGTCCTCAAACTGACGGGCAAACTGAGAGAGTCAACCAAATGCTAGAACAGTATCTCAAAAAACTATTGCTTCTATCAGCAGGACGATTGGGCAGAGTTACTCCCGCTTGTCGAGTACGCCTACAACACGGTCACCCAAGAGTCAACCAAAGTATCGCCGTTCTACGCGAACTATGGGTTTCAACCAGATTCCACTTGGCCCTCACTTAAACGGAAACTAGACAACTTCGACGCGTCCAGCGCGGCACAAGCACGGCAAAAAAATGGCATGATCAGAAACATATGAGTGCTCCAGAACTGAAGGTCAGGGACGAGGTGATGCTGGACCGACGCAACATCTTAACCAAGTGACCCTCAAACAAGCTAGACCACCAAAAAAAAAAAATTGGGTCCCTTTGAGGTTGTCGGGAAACTTGGCGTCGCGTCCTACAGGCTGAATCTACCCGCTCAGTGGAACATTCATAATGTCTTCCATATATCTCTGCTGGACCCTCAACGAGCTATACTGCTTCCACCTCCGGATGAGGTTCAAGGGGAAGACAGTTACGTTCTCAAGAAAATAGCCGATAGCCAATGGCAGCAGGCTGGTCGTGGGAAGAAATTCGTGCAATATCGGATTACCTGGTAGGGTTATCTCTCAGAAAACTCTTGGGAACCGTACAAATTGTTGTAAGGAATGGCAGACGAGCCACTCTGAGAGTTCCACGCGAAGTATCCCCGAAAATCACGGGACGCATGTCAATACAGGAAAGTGCAGGAAACCGAGACGACGGAGTGTTCTGGGATAAGCGTGGAGAAAACGAGTCTCCCCTTGTTAGGTCACACGTTTCACTTGAGGTTTCCTTTGTCAATAGAAATGGATGCAGAAAATAAAGTGTAACGGAGCCATTTCAACTGTCTGGTGTATGAGTACACACAGGGCCCGGTTACATGCTGAGAGTTATTGATAGAAGCCAGTTGCACAGTGACATGCAAGTACCGGCAGTGTGGTTAGCTACCAGCTGTCAGAGTAACTACATTCTGAGCGCTAGGAAGAGGATCTATTCATGGGAGCAATGATTGACGAGTCTATGCCTCGCCAATGATTAGAAGGCCAGCCAGAGTGAAGCTCTGAGTGCTCGGCGATCCTCTACATCCTCTGAGCATGATAAGTCCGCCGGTAGTGGCAGGGACTATGCCTGGGAAAGTCTACAATAAGTGAAGAGCTCTACAGCAATGATTAAGCTTACGCCTGAGCGGTAGCTCATTCATGCAGGTCCCGGTTGTGCGACAATCAAGACTGCAGGTGTTACAAAGGCTTTGACTAAGGGTGGTTGCCTTCGGAACCGGAAGCACCCGCTAACGCTTAGAGAGAAGCGGGGTAGCGGTGGTATTGCTTCTCTTCCACTAGAAGGGATCACCAGAGCTTAGTAAGGGAGTAGGAGCAGGGAATGGAATCCTTTGGAGTATAAGTACTCAGGATCCTTCCCGCCCAACTATCCGATTTCCTGATTTCCATCTGGCACGGCCAAATCCTTTCTCTCGGATTCTAGCGATACGAGGAAAGGCTGTCCCCATTACATTGAGTTCGTATGGAATGATTATTAGAGCTACATTTTCTTGTATGCTCATAACGTACCATACCAAAAACCCTAGGTTAGACTCGGGACGAGTCTACCGGAGGGAGGAGTAGTGTAACAGGGCCACAGTAGGGCTGTTACAAAAAATACCTGTTCTACCAGTCAAGCCATACGGCCCTAGGTTAACCGCAGCTGGTTCTTCATCGATGGGTGAAGACAAGGGCAGATGAGCCCCTACCTCTATTGGTATAGAGGGTAGAGATCCTGGCGAGCAAGAAGTCTTACAAGTCAAACTAGATGACTGGACCAAAACTAGAGCAGCAGGACGAGCAGGCCAAATAATGAAGGGTAACCCCAAACATAAGTTACCCTACCTTGGCATTCAACCTTTGAGGCGCAATAACTTTGCAACCGATGCCCGGAAAATATGCTTTACCACGTCTGAAAGGATCCTGGCGATGCTCCGGTCCATTTGGGGTGGTTGAATGAACGGATTGCGGAGTTGAGGAAACTGTAACGGGGGTACCTTGTAAGGGCGCGACCGTGACTTCGATCAGGTAGATTGGCAGAAAGGAATACGACAAGCTATCCTTTCGGCTCGTTCGATGGAAAGATAGAGTTTCATTTGTTTGATCGTTATTTGTAGTCTAGAAACTTAATAACTTTAAGGGGGCTCCTCGCTGGTAAAGACTCGCTGATCCCCCCGAGACCAAGCTGGGGCAACCGAGTTCCTTTTATGGAAGTTCGGCGCCCCTTCCTTCATTCCCTCTTTCCTTTTTTCACTGGCCGTCCGCCTTTCAAATAATCTGGGGGCACCGCCTATTTTCTATCGGGGGGGAGGAGAAGAGTTGCTACCACACCGCGGACGAATTTTCGTCCGAGTCAAATCTCGCAATCCTTGCCAGGAAAGGGTCGGGATCCTAGGAACTAGAGGAAACAGCCGACCAGACAGCAATTGCTTATTCAGAGTATTTAGAATAGATTTGGGTGTTTTTAAAGCAAAGGTTTTGCTTTGGTCGTTTGGATCGCACTCTTACTCCCCCAAAGATGCACCGGGCTGAAACAGGAGGGTTCCGGCGGTTCGACGCTCCGGGGGTTATTTTTGGGGGTCTAAAACGTGTTTATTTTGCAGTGTTTCCTCAACTCCGCAATCCGTTCATTCAACCACCCCAAATGGACCGGAGCATCGCCAGGATCCTTTCAGACGTGGTAAAGCATATTTTCCGGGCATCGGTTGCAAAGTTATTGCGCCTCAAAGGTTGAATGCCAAGGTAGGGTAACTTATGTTTGGGGTTACCCTTCATTATTTGGCCTGCTCGTCCTGCTGCTCTAGTTTTGGTCCAGTCGTCTAGTTTGACTTGTAAGACTTCTTGCTCGCCAGGATCTCTACCCTCTATACCAATAGAGGTAGGGGCTCATCTGCCCTTGTCTTCACCCATCGATGAAGAACCAGCTGCGGTTAACCTAGGGCCGTATGGCTTGACTGGTAGAACAGGTATTTTTTTGTAACAGCCCTACTGTGGCCCTGTTACAGAAACACTGCAAAATAAACACGTTTTAGACCCCCAAAAATAACCCCCGGAGCGTCGAACCGCCGGAACCCTCCTGTTTCAGCCCGGTGCATCTTTGGGGGGAGTAAGAGTGCGATCCAAACGACCAAAGCAAAACCTTTGCTTTAAAAACACCCAAATCTATTCTAAATACTCTGAATAAGCAATTGCTGTCTGGTCGGCTGTTTCCTCTAGTTCCTAGGATCCCGACCCTTTCCTGGCAAGGATTGCGAGATTTGACTCGGACGAAAATTCGTCCGCGGTGTGGTAGCAACTCTTCTCCTCCCCCCCGATAGAAAATAGGCGGTGCCCCCAGATTATTTGAAAGGCGGACGGCCAGTGAAAAAAGGAAAGAGGGAATGAAGGAAGGGGCGCCGAACTTCCATAAAAGGAACTCGGTTGCCCCAGCTTGGTCTCGGGGGGATCAGCGAGTCTTTACCAGCGAGGAGCCCCCTTAAAGTTATTAAGTTTCTAGACTACAAATAACGATCAAACAAATGAAACTCTATCTTTCCATCGAACGAGCCGAAAGGATAGCTTGTCGTATTCCTTTCTGCCTATCTACCTGATCGAAGTCACGGTCGCGCCCTTACAAGGTACCCCCGTTACACAGGTTAACCGACCTGAAGAGGAAACGGTATCCTTCCGGAAGAAAGGACCACGGAAGGGAGGGTGAAAAGAAGCAAAAATTGGGCCCCCAGAATGAGGCTTTTCGGGCAAGGATTACAACTTTGGAGGATCAAAATTGATTGGGAATTTCTATTTTTCGGTATCTCAGGCTGCGTCACGGTTTCTTTCTATTTTTCGGTTATGAAAAACAAGATTTTTATTTATTATGGTTATTCTTATCGGTTGACTACGGGATTTTCTATATTTTGTTTTGTTACACGCGCGGAAATTCAATTCTCTTTACACACACTCTGAAAATGGGGTTACACCCCGAAACGCCTGGTGCGTAAGTGTTGTACCATGATCTTCATCAAAAACACCCGAACTCTCTATATAAAACCCCTCACCCCGCGCTCAACAAGAGAAATCCATCGAACCAACCCATATCCAAAACCAATATACAAATATGTCTTCCAACACACAAGAAACTCGCCTCGAGATCGAAATCTCTTGGGATCACCCCGCAACTAGTACCAAACATGTTGCTACCGTCAACGCACTCCTGGACAGTGGCACAGAAGACTGGATCATGTCCTGGGACTGTATCCACCGCGCAAAAATACCCACTCAATCTCGACCAAAGCCTCTCATCATCAGACAGGCCGATGGTACCCCTATGCCCAACTCCGGCACCCACATCACTCAACCTCTTACCCTCCGCATCGGCAACCATCTAGACAGGGCTATCACCTGTGAGGTTGGCTCGTTTGCAGGGGAGGACCTCGTCATACCACATCGATGGCTCAAGGAGCATCAACCAACCATCCATTGGGGACGCAACAGTGTTAGCTTTCATAGCAACAACTGCATAGTCAATGGATGCTTCGTATCAGTCGAGGACATATACGATCAAGACCCAGAAGAGCTGGTCATCAGGCTGTTGAGGGCGTCACCCAAGAAGCAGATAACGATCGAGCAACACCCCTTTTGGGCAAGGGCATCGGTAAACGAGGCTCTCATTAGTGCTATACCGGTGGAGTTTCAGGAATATGCCGACGTGTTCTCCAAGGAAGGAGCCGCTCGACTACCTGACCACTCTGAATGGGATCATACCATTCCTCTTATGGAAGGAAAGCAGCCGCCGTGGGGACCGATCTATTCGCTCTCCCCACCTGAAGATAAGGCACTCCGGGAGTACTTGGACGAAAATCTGCCCTCCGGCAAAGTAGTCCCCTCCACTAGCCCCGCAGCGGCACCCGTCCTGTTCGTTCCGAAAGGTAATGGCAAGCTTCGGTTATGTGTCGATTTTCGTGGCTTAAATGGGATCACGATCAAGAACCGTTATCCACTGCCACTCATGAATGAGCTGGCCGACGCAACGAAAGGAGCACTCTACTTCACGAAGATAGACCTGAAAAATGGCTATAATCTGATTAGGATTGCTAAGGGCGAAGAATGGAAAACCGCTTTCCGAACGAAATACGGCCTCTTCGAATATAGAGTAATGCCTTTCGGCTTGACCAATGCTCCTGCGTCGTTTCAGGTCATGGTCAATACCATATTCAAGGATCTTCTAGATCAAGGTGTAACGGGGGTGCCTTGAGAGGGCGCGACCGTGACTTCGATCAGGTAGATAGGCAGAAAGGAATTCGACAAGCTATCCTTTCGGCTCGTTCGATGGAAAGATAGAATTTCATTTGTTTTGATCGTTATTTGTAGTCTAGAAACTTAATAACTTTAAGGGGGCTCCTCGCTGGTAAAGACTCCCTGATCTCCCCGAAACCAAGCTGGGGCAACCGAGTTCCTTTATGGAAGTTCGGCGCCCCTTCCTTCATTACCTCTTTCCTTTTTTCACTGGCCGTCCGCCTTTCAAATAATCTGGGGGCACCACCTATTTTCTATCAGGGGGGGAGGAGAAGAGTTGCTACCACACCGCGGACGAATTTTCGTCCGAGTCAAATCTCGCAATCCTTGCCAAGAAAGGGTCGGGATCCTAGGAACTAGAGGAAACAGCCGACCAGACAGCAATTGCTTATTCAGAGTATTTAGAATAGATTTGGGTGTTTTTTAAAGCAAAGGTTTGCTTTGGTAGTTTGGGTCGCACTCTTACTCCCCCCAAAGATGCACCGGGCTGAAACAGGAGGGTTCCGGCGGTTCGACGCTCCGGGGGTTATTTTTGGGGTCTAAAACGTGTTTATTTTGCAGTGTTTCCTCAACTCCGCAATGCGTTCATTCAACCACCCCAAATGGACCGGAGCATCGCCAGGATCCTTTCTGACGTGGTAAAGCATTTTTTCCGGGCATCGGCTGCAAAGTTATTGCGCCTCAAAGGTTGAATGCCAAGGTAGGGTAACTTATGTTTGGGGTTACCCTTCCTTATTTGGTCTGCTCGTCCTGCTGCTCTAGTTTTGGTCCAGTCGTCTAGCTTGACTTGTAAGACTTCTTGCTCGCCAGGATCTCTACCCTCTATACCAATAGAGGTAGGGGCTCATCTGCCCTTCTCTTCACCCATCGATGAAGAACCAGCTGCGGTTAACCTAGGGCCGTATGGCTTGACTGGTAGAACAGGTATTTTTGTAACAGCCCTACTGTGGCCCTGTTACACTACTCCTCCCTCCGGTAGACTCGTCCCGAGTCTAACCTAGGGTTTTTTGGTATGGTACGTTATGAGCATACAAGAAAATGTAGCTCTAATAATCATTCCATACAAACTAAATGTAACGGGGACAGCCTTTCCTCGTATCGCTAGAATCCGAGAGAAAGGATTTGGCCGTGCAAGATAGAAATCAGGAAATCGGATAGTTGGGCGGGAAGGATCCTGAGTACTTATACTCCAAAGGATTCCATTCCCTGCTCCTACTCCCTTACTAAGTTCTGGTGATCCCTTCTAGCGGAAGGGAAGCAATACCACCGCTACCCCGCTTCTCTCTAAGCGTTAGCGGGTGCTTCCGGTTCCGAAGGCAACCACCCTTAGTCAAAGCCTTTGTAACACCTGCAGTCTTGATTGTCGCACAACCGGGACCTGCATGAATGAGCTACCGCTCAGGCGTAAGCTTAATCATTGCTGTAGAGCTCTTCTCTTATTGTAGACTTTCCCAGGCATAGTCCCTGCCACTACCGGCGGACTTATCATGCTCAGAGGATTTAGAGGATCGCCGAGCACTCAGAGCTTCACTCTGGCTGGCCTTCTAATCATTGGCGAGGCATAGACTCGTCAATCATTGCTCCCATGAATAGATCCTCTTCCTAGCGCTCAGAATGTAGTTACTCTGACAGCTGGTAGCTAACCACACTGCCGGTACTTGCATGTCACTGTGCAACTGGCTTCTATCAATAACTCTCAGCATGTAACCGGGCCCTGTGTGTACTCATACACCAGACAGTTGAAATGGCTCCGTTACACTCTATTTTTTTTTTTTTTTTTTTTTTTGCATCCATTTCTATTGACAAAGGAAACCTCAAGTGAAACGTGTGACCTAACAAGGGGAGACTCGTTTTCTCCACGCTTATCCCAGAACACTCCGTCGTCTCGGTTTCCCGCACTTTCCTGTATTACCATGCGTCCCATGATTTTCGGGGATACTTCGCATGGAACTCTCGGAGTGGCTCGTCTGCCATTCCTTACAACAATTTGTACGGTTCCCAAGAGTCTTCTGAGAGATAACCCTCCCAGGTAATCCGATATTGCACGAACTTCTTCCCACGACCAGCCTGCTGTCATTGGCTATCGGCTATTTTCTTGAGAACGTAACTGCCTTCCCCTTGAACCTCATCCGGAGGTGGAAGCAGTATAGCTCGTTGAGGGTCCAGCAGAGATATATGGAAGATATCATGAATGTTCCACTGAGTGGGTAGATTCAGCCTGTAGGACGCGACGCCAAGTTTCCCGACAACCTCAACGGGACCCATTTTTTTTTTTGGTGGTCTAGCTTATTTGAGGGTCACTTGGTTAAGATGTTGCATCGGTCCAGCATCACCTCGTCCCTAACCTTCAGTTCTGGAGCACTCATCTGTTTCTGATCATACCATTTTTTCTGCTGTGCTTGTGCCGCGCTGGACGCGTCGAAGTTGTCTAGTTTCCGTTTAAGTGAGGGCCAAGTGGAATCTGGTTGAAACCTATAGTTCGCGTAGAATGGCGATGCTTTGGTTGACTCTTGGGTGGCCGTGTTGTAGGCGTACTTGGCAAGCGGGAGTAACTCTGCCCAATCGTCCCGCTGACAGAAACAATAGTTTTTTGAGATACTGTTCTAGCGTTTGGTTGACTCTCTCAGTTTGCCCGTCAGTTTGAGGACGATATGTTTCGAATCTAGAGTCCTGATCGGAGATAATCTCCTCAGGAAGTCCATGCAGTCGCCGTATCTCCCGGAGGAAGATTTTGAGCAAGTTCTTCGATGGTTGCTTTGGTGATAAAGTCCATTGAAATGGAACTCCAAGGAATAGAGAGGACCTCTAAAGGTTGCAACATCCCTTTCTTCTTGTGTGTTTGAGGCTTTAGCGCGTTGACATGTATCGCAACTCTGAACGTATTCTTCCACATCGTTGTCCATCTTTTGGCAAAGGACAGTGCCCGAAGGCGTTCTGCCGTTTTGAATTGTCCAAAGTGACCAGCAGTCTTCGAATCATGTAGGGCGCTCAGGATCTTGAGCTTCAGTTCCCGATGATTTGGAATGTACCACCTTTCCTTATAGAAGACGTGTCCGTCCTTTAAAGTCAGGTATCGGTTCACCAGATTCCCAGAGGTGTTCTCAATGGCTTTTTTCAAAGAAAGGTACTCTGGATCTAAGGCTGCTTGAGCCCAGATTTCATCCAGGAGCACCGGTGTGAGTTTGCAGATTTGGGCTGACCTTGCACATGCTGAGTTGATCATAACGATCGGGTGTTGGACAGAACCCATTATAAGTTGTCCTGGCTTAAACAAGAATTTCAGGGTCTTGATGAGCCTTACCCCCCTCTTTAAGGGCGTGGTCCCAACGCCGCGACAAGATGTCTGGTTTGGCGTTTTTAGTTTTCCAGGGCGGTATACAACTTTGAAGTCAAACTCCGCGAGGTTGGCCGCCCATCGAGCTTATCTCGGTTTCAGCGCCCCCCCCTTTTTTTTTTTTTTTTTTTTTTTTTGCTGGTTGGTGACGACCGTGACCGTATCTTTGTAGGAACGCAGAAGGTGACTCCGGGGGTGGTGTACCTCTATGGGATTCCGGGGACAACCCCTTGGCGAACCCAGGCTGGAGGAAACCCAGAGGTGTAACGGAGGTAAAGCGAGCCCAACTCATTCCTAGGTTCGGAAATATGGGAACTGAGGATCTTATCATCCACTAACTGACCCTTGCCTGTGAGGGTAAGGGCCTTCCATTGGGCTGCCGCATCATCCCTAGAGATAGCTTCGCCAAAGGCTGCTCTGAGAGCATCCACAAAGGAATCCCAGCACTTCCATTTCTCATCTAACACCACAGACATCCCAGCTATCCGGTTGGCAGAAGCTTGGTCAATGGAGCTGTGGTAAGCCTCATACCAGTTGGCTGGGGCTTCTCCTTCCATCAGGTTACCAGCATATCGGATCCTAACCTCTTCGTAGGTAAAGAACTGGCTTTCAATGGAGAAGACATTCTCACATTGCCTGATGAAGGTCTCCACATTGTTTGCTTTGCCATTGAACTTGGCCTGAGGGTGTGCCTTTGGTTCTCGGGCCCTGGAGGCAGCGGAGGGGTGTGAGGGGGCCGGAGGTCTCATGAACTGTGTCATGGAGGCCAGGAGCTCTGTCTGCTGCTTCTCCAGCATCTTCCTGAGGTATCTCCGCCATCCTCTCCTATCTCCATACTCAGGCTCCGAATCTGAACTATCTGAGTCCCCTCCCGGGTTGGGATCGCCACCAACCGGGGGGACTATTCCATTTTGTCCACCATTACCCGCTGGTTCTGGGTTCTGGTTTTTTCTCCACCGGGGGTTTCCCTCCGGCTGGAGGTTTCTCCTGGGAGACTTCGCTCGTTGAAGCATGACACAATGGCACCTAACTCCTTGTCGTGAACGTCATAATTCCGTTCGGCTTGTGACATCATTTTGGAGTAAAAGACTCCTGGATACCACTTGTTGTCATCTCGGTGGAATTGGGACGGTATGCTAGATTTAGCGGAGTTGGAGGCATCGGTCTCAATCTTGGTAGCTAGCTCGGCATCAAAGTGGGCTAGTACGGGGGCGGATGGAAGGCCTCTTTCAGGACTTCGAACGCATGCTCCTATCCCTCAGACCAGGTAAACTTGGTGTCCTTGTCTCCTTCCACGGTTAGTGCCGGGTTCGGTTAAAGCCGGACCGAACTCCTGCTTCGGCTAACCACGCTGATTCTCGGAACTGGAATAGGAGTTCGCTTATAAAAGCGGGGTATCCGTCGAACTAAGGAGGGTAAGAATTCTTTTCCTTCTATTCATTCTACACTCCAGGGAGTTCGATCTTTCCACACCCAACACCAAATTTATCACCTCCTTTCAGCAATAATGTTTTTCTTTATTCTATTCCTCTCTTTGTTCATTGCGATCAATTCGTCTATTGTACAAGCGCTTTTATCTAACGCTAGTCGATCTCGGCGGGGGACAAGGCTTAGATCCTCAACTGGTGCGGTTGTTACTGATCTCCTGGAGCTGGATGGTGGTAACACCATCCACGCTCGGAGAGTTGCTCGTAAAGCCGTCCGATCACGGAGTGCTATGAGGTAGGCATGATCCAGCGAGTTGTGTAACCTCTTCTTACTATCGCTAATGCTTCCACAGGCATGCTGTTCCTCGGAGTTTGGAGACCTCGACCTTCGATGGCCATTTCAACCAGGTCCCATTTCTGACTCGGGAGGATTACCGTCGTCCTTATCCCTTCTCCCAACCAGGGGACAGAAGTGTTGGTCAGGCTCGTGTCCGTGCGGCACTGATGGAGAAACGGGAACAGGTGCGGTGGATGCGGGATGAGATTGCGCGAGATGGAAGGGGAGCTGAGTGGATGCGGCAGCGAGTGGTCCAAGAAGAGGCAAGGGAGAGACAAAGACTGGCTCTCCAAGCATATTACGAGGCATGGTGGCGCCAGAAGAAAGCCAGTTATCCCCTCTTCCGGACTCTTCCTGCCGTCATCGTGGACGAGTAACGTTGACTTTGGTTGGGACTGGGGCCCAGATGGGGAATGGGGCCGTTGGTCAATGGGACTATCAGGATTTTCTAGGAGCGATCCTGATGTGGTCTCCTTTCCGAGCGAAGCTGGGCGCTATAACCCTTTGAGCGAATGTGGGCGCTATAACCCTTTGAGCGAATGTGGCGCTATAACCCTCTGACGGATACAGTGGAGACCATAGTAAGTGTTAGCTCTCCCATGCCAGCCTGAGCTGAAAAAAAAAAAGCTAACTGCTCGGTTATTTCAGCCTTGAAAGTGGTCCTAGGTGTTCAGGTAGGTTTTTTTTCTTTCTCGTGGGGTTCTTTAAGCGAGGAGCTTAAAGTTATACTGTAACGGGGGTGCCTTGAAGGGGCACGACCGTGACTTCGATCAGGTAGATAGGCAGAAAGGAATTCGACAAGCTATCCTTTCGGCTCGTTCGATGGAAAGATAGAGTTTCATTTGTTTGATCGTTATTTGTAGTCTAGAAACTTAATAACTTTAAGGGGGCTCCTCGCTGGTAAAGACTCGCTGATCCCCCGAAACCAAGCTGGGGCAACCGAGTTCCTTTATGGAAGTTCGGCGCCCCTTCCTTCATTCCCTCTTTCCTTTTTTCACTGGCCGTCCGCCTTTCAAATAATCTGGGGGCACCGCCTATTTTCTATCAGGGGGGAGGAGAAGAGTTGCTACCACACCGCGGACGAATTTTCGTCCGAGTCAAATCTCGCAATCCTTGCCAAGAAAGGGTCGGGATCCTAGGAACTAGAGGAAACAGCCGACCAGACAGCAATTGCTTATTCAGAGTATTTAGAATAGATTTGGGTGTTTTTAAAGCAAAGGTTTGCTTTGGTAGTTTGGGTCGCACTCTTACTCCCCCCAAAGATGCACCGGGCTGAAACAGGAGGGTTCCGGTGGTTCGACGCTCCGGGGGTTATTTTTGGGGTCTAAAACGTGTTTATTTTGCAGTGTTTCCTCAACTCCGCAATGCGTTCATTCAACCACCCCAAATGGACCGGAGCATCGCCAGGATCCTTTCTGACGTGGTAAAGCATATTTTCCGGGCATCGGTTGCAAAGTTATTGTGCCTCAAAGGTTGAATGCCAAGGTAGGGTAACTTATGTTTGGGGTTACCCTTCCTTATTTGGCCTGCTCGTCCTGCTGCTCTAGTTTTGGTCCAGTCGTCTAGCTTGACTTGTAAGACTTCTTGCTCGCCAGGATCTCTACCCTCTATACCAATAGAGGTAGGGGCTCATCTGCCCTTGTCTTCACCCATCGATGAAGAACCAGCTGCGGTTAACCTAGGGCCGTATGGCTTGACTGGTAGAACAGGTATTTTTGTAACAGCCCTACTGTGGCCCTGTTACAGAAAGGGCTCATGTAGAAGAGTATGCTCCCCGATTAACACGCTACACTCCTTCTCAATCCTCTGAGCCTGCACTGACAGCACATTTGCACTCCTAGAGTTAGGGACCACAGACCTCTGAGTCAATTGGCTCGAAGGAATGTCGCCAGTGTTCTCAAAGACGTCGTGAGTGTCCTCCGGAATACTAACCTCGCTTCCTGGAATCAAAATACCCTCGCTTTCCGGCATCGGAGTACTCTCGTCCTCTTCCCTAGATGAGGGAAGGTACTCGATTTCGTAGACTCTTCGCGATCTACCTTGACCGTGAAGTTGGCTTGAAGGAATCTGACGACTGCTCACAGAGTTCTCGCCAATCACCTCGCTAGGCGGTGAAGAACGATATGTCCGGTAAGTGGGGGACGACTCCCCGTATCGAGAGCACATCGAGGAAAAATCGATATGGCGCGTAGAAGAGGTATACTCATGAGCATAAACAGGTGCAGAGGGCCTAGATTGTGAGGGTGTTGGGGGTGCTCTCTGGGATGCCGGGAGTGCTCTCTGGGATGCATTCTGGCTGGATGCTGAAGTGGGTGCTGCTCTCCCTTGACCTTGTTTACGTATTACTTTCGCGCCCGGTCGAGTTCCCCTCTGAATCGTTAGCCACTAATACTTACATGTTAAAAAGCATCAATGAGCGAGATAGAGTCGAACCTGTACCACGTCCACCGACACGTTGGAAGAAGCAATGACCTCCGCTACCGCGCCAGTTGGTTTCCTCCGAGCATTGCCCAGTGCTCTGGCAGTAGTCGGCTGAACTGTATGAGGTCTCTTTCCGACAGTCTGAGACTTCTGGGTGTAAGATGGGGGGGGGGCTTGAGGTTCATCCTCCGGTTCATCCTCATCCTCCTCAGAGCTCTCGTGGTCATTCTCCGGAGCATCATCATAGTCTGAGTGGCTAGTATCAACAGTTTCTTCCACCTCTGGCGCCTCAATTGCCTCAGGCTCCTCCTGCGCTTCAAAATTATCAGTATGGTCCTCGGGGAGATGAAATTCTACCCTCCTAGGACTGCTCCTCCCAGTGGGGGTTTCGGAGGAACGGAGAAGACCTTTCCGAGTTATTTGAGCGGCGGTGGTCGATTGACTACTCCGAGTTCGGGCTGGCAGTGGAGTCAATGTTCGGTAAGATATTTCAGACTCGTCAGTCAGTAAATCTTCATGTTCTTCAGGTCGTTTTGGGAGTCGTGGGCGCTTTGGGGCAAGAGGTGCTGAACCGGAGGAGCGCTTGGTGGGAGCCATTGTGATGACTGGCAGGAATATCCGCAGTGCTCTAGGAGCACTCGCGATATCTTCGATTAGAAATCAGTTCTTGGCGAGAAAATTTGCGCCGCTAATCAAGAAAAGTTTGCACCGCTAATCCTCTTATGGCAGGGATCATCCTATGTTACCACAATTTCTGCACTCAACCGCATCATTTATCATCACTCATTTTACTGCACTTTCTGAAGCGGTACCGAGTGCTCTGAGAGCAATCTAGGAGTTTGATTCGACTTTGAAATAAAAGCAATGCAATTACTACCTGGAATAATCTAATCTAATCTAATCTAATCTAATCCTATCCGATATAACCCATCCATTGATATACTCTCGCAAGACAAAGGGAAATCCAAAACACCAAATCGTACCGCACCTCAATAGCTATCGCGAGTGCTCAGGGAGTAATCCTAACAACTATTAAAAGGTTAGTGACAATTCCGCAGGAAGGGAAGTTAGAGATTATACCAAAGGGAACTAATGATGCCCACCACCATCACCACCATCACCACCACCACCATCACCACCGCCTCCAGCTGGCCCACCACCACCATCACCACCGCCTCCAGCTGGCCCACCACCACCACCACCACCGCCTCCAGCTGGTCCTCCACCACCACCGCCGCCCGGAGGAGGAGGAGGTCCGCCCGGAGGCGGTGGAGGTCCTAGACCACCACCACCACCACCACCACCACCACCACCTCCAGCACCAGCAGCCGCGAGTGAGTCAGCAGCTCTCTTGGCTGCTATCCCGGCAGGTGTCCAGATCGTCCCCTGTAAGAAGTTTGGGTCAGCAACCCCGACACCCAAAGGATACTTCATAAGGTATTTGGGGTCTAAATCGTCGATAGCATCCTGCTGTCTATCGCGACGCCTAACAAGAGTCTGAATTAGCCTTTGATTACTGGCATCAGTTCTAGGCATATATACCCTCAGTCCTTTGGCATTTATCCGGTGCTTTCCCTCCTCGTAATCCGAATCCTCTGCAGGAATATCGATCATGCTATAATCATCTTCCTCAACGTGAGGGAAAGCCGGGTTCAACGGGGGGGATTCCGCACCACCCAGGTTAGCACCCGCGCCTGCTCTGTGGAGGACCGCCAATATCCTCCGAGGCCTGGCATTGCTGTTCTTCAACCAACCTTCGAGCTCCTCTGAATCGGTAATTTGTACCTCCACCGGCCGAACGGGAGGAACAGCTGCCGGGGGGACATTCTCAATTGCCCCCCAGATAGTCCTGACTGCTCTGCCGGGTGCGGTGTGCTTCAGGATCAAGTTGCATAGCTCGGGGAAAGTTATCTTGATCAAAATTCCGATGAACGAAGGTTCGTTCAGGGGATCATTCCAGTCATAAGTAGGTGGTGGGACGAGCATAAAGAATGCCCCTAGAGCATCGGGGTCCACCACGGTAACCATTATGGAAGGTCGCACGAGTTCCGGAGGTACTGCACGCTCTTTCCCTTTGCGAGAGCGTCTTCCGGCTGCCTGACCACCGCCGTCATCATCATCATCACTATCACCGGCAGCCTCTTTGAACTGACGGTCTCCCTGTCCCCTTGATAACCTATCCTTCATACCAACATCTGCGATGAGCCACTGTAGAGCACTCGCCAGTGCTCTACGGGCATCGGAGTCACCCCCAGTCCAAATTGGCAGAAAACCGTTGAGGGAGGGCAAGTTCATCAAGTAAAGGCATAGGGCATTGAACGCAGCCATACCGGACGTGCTTTTATTGACCCAACCCACATTTTGCATTTCCGCCTTTAGGCTGTTGCGGATGCTGGTGTACACTTTAGGTAGGTTGAGTAGACCTAAAGTCATCTTCGCTTTGCTTGCTTGAGTCATCTTGAATGCGGTCGAGCTCGGGGATGTCTCTTGAATACTCGGGGATGTCTCTTGAACACTCGGGGATGTCTCTTGGACAATCGGCGATGGCTCGGGTCTAATTCGTCTCTGTCGTACTGGTGAGGGGTGGTCTATTAGTTCGGACGGGCTTGCACTAGAAAATAACCGAGAGGGGCGTCGGGGCTTGAATGTAGGGGTCTCCGGTGCAAGAACCTTCGGTGGAGCACTGACGGGTGCTGGTGAGGGAGTAGTAGAGCCTGCTGGGCCTGTTGAGCGGCCTGTTGCTGGGCCTGTTGCTGCTGGGCCTGTTGAGCGGCCTGTTGAGCGGCCTGTTGCTGGGCCTGTTGAGCGGACTGCACTAGACTTGGACCGAGTGAGAACTTGACTTGGGACTATGGTCTTCCGGGCAACGTTCTTTTGTGGAGCACTAGCGGGTGCTGGTGGGGTAGCACTAACTCTAAGTACGGTCGTCCGTACAAGGGCCTCTGGTGAAGCACTGCTGCGTGCTGAGGAAGCAGTGGAGACTGCTGCTAGTGGGCCTGTTGCTAGACCTGTTGCTGGGTCTTGATCGTCACTTATGTATGGTTCAGAGGGTTCGGAACTAAAGTCGGGAAAGGAGTCGGAATCAGTTAGGGTTGCTCCCCAGTTACTCGGGAAGATCCCTTCAGTGTCCGATGGAGCTAGGTTAGTATTTGGCGGAGTCCGGGTTTCAGTCCGGATTGGTGGAGGTACAGGGTTTTGTTTTCGGCTCTTGTTGATCGGGGTGAACCCGGAAAGCACTGGCGACTGCTTATGGGGTGTTTCTGGTATCTCCTCCGGGATAGGCTCGACAGTTTTGCGGGACGATTTGCGATCTGAGGAAGTTCGGTGTTTCTTATGTTTTCGGGACGATTTGTGTTTCTTGGTTTTTCGGTGGGTCTTTTCGTTATCGTCTTCATCTATGTCACGCAAGCGCTTCTTATTGGGAAGTTGATTTGTGTTCTGTGAGCTACCGGGAGTGCTCTGAGCGGTGTTTGGAGTCTGATAATGTTAATGTATCACTGTGGTGAGTATGGTTCTAAAATTAATTGGATTAGGAGAGAGAAATACCATCTTATTTATAAAGATTGCAAAGGTTAAATCGCTTGAAAACGGAGGAACTTGAAGGATGAGATTTCAACAGGTAATGTTGAAAGCAATGGAAAACTTGAAGTGATAGGTAGAGGAGAACTTGAAGGTGGTTAGGAACTTCTCACGAACTTGAAGGAAGGGAGGGGTGCTCTTATACCGCGTACGATCAACTTTTTGCTGAGCTTATCACGCTTCCGAGAGCACCCACGAATGCCCTAGAAGCACTCGAGGGTGCTCGTACTCAATGTTTGCTTCAATATATGACGTTGATCTAAATGCTCCAGGCGCACTCGGGGATGCTCTGACGGTACCAATGGTGACGTCGATAACATTCTGGTGTTGGGGTTGGTGCTTGTGTTCTTGTTGGTGTTGGTACTCTGTCCTCTAGGAAGCTGATTCGGAGAGAATGTATTCTTTGAGCTCGTAGTCGATATTAGTGTTGAATTTGGCGCTGAGAACACTGTCTCGATCTGAAGAGACTCCGCGAGTGCTCAGGGAGAGAGTGCAGATGCTCAGGGCGATAGAATCTAGCATAACTGGCCGCCTGATTGGGGTGGTGGGTGTTTCTTCGTGTTGGTGTTGATGTTTGTATTAGGTTGGTGATGTATGACATCAGACTCGTATTGAAAATCAGCCTTGCCGACCGGGGTGCAGGTGAGAGGAGCCTCATTGGCTGACAAATCAAATCATTCGAGCACTCTGCAGCAGCACCTGCAGGAAAGAGCCTCCTCGGCCTTGGCAGAAACCAAATTTTTAGAGCACTCAGGAGTGCTTTGCTAGCATCATGAGACTTCAATGAAATCGTCTTGCCCCTTTTGCAGCAAGCGGTACAGCTCCTCCGCGAACTTCGATAAACATCTTCGAACTACACATCCATTTGAAGCAGATGAATGGCTGGGAAACCAATTTTTACTCCTGGAGCTCGATCAAGAGGCACCCGATGACACTCACGACAGCCCGGAAGGCATTCACGATTCCTATTCAGATGCCCATGACGACTCGGATAGTTCGGAGAGCAACAGTATCAATTATCATGACCAAGATCCCGATAATAATTCAGATCTGGAATCCGAATCATATTTTATGATGGAAGAGACAGATGGAGATGCAAATAGGCATGAGGCAGCGACAACGATTTACGAGGGTGCTGGGGAGCGTCTCTACCGCTCGGAGGACTACGACGAATGCTCACAAAACCTTCTCCGATACCCGTGGCACCCATTCAACTCAGCATACGAGTTTAGAATGGCACGTTATTTCATACTGTCGAAGGCCTCACAAGGAAATATCGACAGTTTCTTTCTACACGCTCCGTCAAGCAGTGGCGAATGCTCCTACAGGACTGGGCGAGGTTTTATAAAGAGGTTGGACGAAATGAATGACATATTGGGAAAGGCGAGCTGGCATCATTCGGAGGTGGATATTGGGGGAGAGAAAATCCCTTACTATTACCGGGATCCAATGGTAATTGTGCGATATCTTCTAGGCCAACGGGCCTTTCGGGAGTCATTGGTGTACGCGCCAGTGGTAGAGCATAATGAATCTGGCGAGAGAATGTACGGGGAAATGCATACGGGAGATTGGTGGTGGGAGACGCAGGTCTGGTAAGCCTCACAAGTGCTCTAGAGGCAGTCGCTAATGCTTTCTGGACAGAATACCTTACCGGAGGGGTCGACTGTGGTACCAATTATATGCGCGTCAGATGGCACACATTTGACAAATTTTAGTGGGGACAAGAAAGCCTGGCCAATCTATCTTACCATCGGGAACATCAAGTCATCGGTCCGGAGCAAGCCCACCGGGCATTCGTTAATTCTCCTAGGGCTACTGCCAGTCCCACCTAAGCTCGGGAAGAACTCACTCGCTAATTCCGCTTTACGACGTCAGAGTCAAATGGCGCTGCATCGCGCCCTTGGGGAGATCTTTCAGAGCATTCGGGAGTGCTCTCAGGAAGGCGAGCTAATCGCATGCGCCGACGGGTACGAACGTCTATGCTTTCCGGTGTTGTCGGGTTGGATCGCTGATCAACC